AGGAGGGAGGATCACTTAAGGTCAGGAGTTTGAGAGCCGCCTGGCCAACATGGTGAAACACTGTCTCTACTAAAAATACAAAAATTAGCAGAGCGTGGTGGCATGCACCTGTAATCCCAGCTACTCAGGAGGCTGAGGCAGGAGAATCACTTGAACCTGGGAGGCAGAGGTTGCAGTGAGCTGAAATTGTGCCATTGCACTCCAGCCTGGGCAAGAAGAGCAAAATTCCATCTCAAAAAAAAAAAAGATGGTTAAAATGGTAACCTTTATGCTATGTGTATTTTATCAGTATAAATATACACAGAATTTTTTTTTTTTTTTTTTTTGGGACAAGATCTCACTCTGTCACCCAGGCTGGAGGGCAGTGGTGCAATCACAGCTCACTGCAGCCTCAACTCCTGAACTCAAGCAATCCTCCTGCCTCAGCCTCCAGAATAGCTGGGACTACAGGCCCAAGCCATCTGGCCTGGCTTTTTTTTTTAATTTTTTTGTAGAGATGGGGTCTTGCTATGTTGCCCAGGCTGGTCTTGAACTCCTAGGCTCAAGTGATTCTCCAGCCTTGGCCTCCCAAAATGCTAGGATTACAGGTGTGATCCACCACGCCTGTCATTTACTTTTTTCATTTTTAAAAAAAGTTTATTTTTATTTTATAAAGACGGGATCTCACTACATTGCCCAGGTTGGACTTGAACTCCTGGGCCCAAGTGAGCTTCCTGCCTTGGCCTTCCAGAGTGCTCAGATCACAGGCGTGAACCTCCTTGCCCAGCCCACACACAGATTTTTGACCACTTCTCCCCTCCTCCCCCCCAATCCACACTCTAGTCCAGCCACCATGGTTTCACCTGAACCAGGACAGTGGCGTCCCCATTGGGCTCCATGCTTCCACCATCGCCCCCTGCAGTCCATTCTCCACATAGCAGTCAGAGGGTCTTGAGGTCTGAATCAGCTCACACCCTCCTCAGCTCAGAAGCCACCCATGACTCCCACCTCATTTAAAGTGCACATCGTGGCCAGGCACGGTGGCTCACACCTGCAGTCCCAGCACACTGGGAGGCCAAGGTGGGTGGATCACTTGAGGTCAGGAATTCGAGACCACCCTGGGCAACATGGCAAAACCCCATCTCTACTAGAAATACAATTAGCTGGGCGTGGTGGCACATGCCTGTAGTCCCAGCTACTTGGGAGGCTGAGGCAGAAGTATGTATTGCTTGAACCCAGGAGGCGGAGGTTGCAGTGAGCAGAGATCACTCCGAGGAGGGTGAGCAGAGGAGGGTGGATCACCTGAAGTCAGGAGCTGCAGACCAGCCTCGCCAACATGGTGAAACCCCATCTCTACTAAAAATACAAGCGGGAAAGCAGGGTAAGGGTGATGGGGATGCTGGAGGGGCTGGTTACTGGGCAGAAGGGGGCTGAGGGGACAGCCAGTGCAAAAGCCTTGAAGGTGGTGTGCTTGGTTTGTTCAACGAACAGCACAGGCCAGAGTGGCTGAAGCAAGAGGGAGTGGGGAGAGCAAGAGCAGGAGGTGGGGCGAGAGAGGACAGGCAGATAGATCAGGGCCTCATGGGCCACAGTGTGCAATTTTTTTTTTTTCTGAGACAGTCTTGCCCTTTTGCCCAGGCTGGAGTGCAGTGGTGCAGTCACGGCTCCCTGCAACCTTGACTCAAACTATCCTCTTGCCTCACCCTCCCAAGCAGCTGGGACTACAGGCACGCCCCACCATGCCAGGCTAATTTTGTATTTTTTGTAGAGACGGGATCTTACTATGTTGCCCAGGCTGGTCTCAAACTGATGACCTCAAGCGATCCTCCTACTTTGGCCTCCCAAAGTGCTGGGGTTACAGGCACGAGCCATCGTGCCTGGCCGAGAGCCAGAATTTTTGCCTGTTGTATTCCCCACTGTGTATTCAGTGTTTAAAATAAGCCTTGGCACACAGCAGATGCTCAAAAAATACTTGCAGGTTTTAGGGAGGGTTGTTTTATTTCTTTTTAGTTTTTAGAGACAGGGTCTTGCTGTTTCCAGGCTGGAGTGCAGTAGTGCGTTCAGTAGTTGGGACTGCAAGCGAGCACCACCACGCCCGGCTAATTTTTAGTTTTTTGTCAAGACGAAGTCTTGCTGTGTTACACAGGCTGGTGTCTAACTTCTGGCCTCAAGTGACCCTCCAGCTTTGGCCTCCCAAAGTGCTGGGATTACAGGCAAGAGCACTGTGCCCGAACTAAAAAAATATTTGTTAAAACAAAGATTAAACAATAGAGACGAAAAGAGAAACAGGAGGAGAAAAAGGAGAAGAGGGAAAGGGGAGGAGATAGGGGATGCTGAGACTAGGAAACTGGGAAGCCGCAGGGTACGGGGGCCGGGGGGGAGCGAGGTGGGAGAAAGTGTTGGGGTGAGATGGGTGGAGGAGAGAAGAAAGAAAATGAGCTGGGGCTGGGCGCGGTGGCTCACGCCTGTAATCCCAGCACTTTGGGAGGCCGAGGCGGGTGGATCACGAGGTCAAGAGATCGAGACCATCCTGGTCAACATGGTGAAACCCCGTCTCTACTAAAAATACAAAAAACATTAGCTGGGCATGGTGGTGCGTGCCTGTAATCCCAGCTACTCAGGAGGCTGAGGCAAGAGAATTGCCTGAACCCAGGAGGCGGAGGTTGTGGTGAGCCGCGATCGCGCCATTGCACTCCAGCCTGGGTAACATGAGTGAAACTCCGTCTCAAAAAAAAAAAAAAGAAAGAAAATGAGCTGGGGCTGGGCGCGGTGGCTCACACCTGTAATCCCAGCACTTTGGGAGGCCAAGGCGGGAGGATCACCTGAGGTCAGGAGTTCAAGACCAGCCTGGCCAACATGGTAAAACCCCCTCTCTACTAAAAACACAAAAATTTGTCGGGTATGGTGGTGGGCGCATGTAGACCCAGCTACTCAGGAAGCTGAGGCAGGAGAATCTCTTGAACCCGGGAGGCGGAGGTTGCAGCGAGCCAAGATCGTGCCACTGCACTTCAGCCTGGGCAACAGAGTGAGACTCCGTCTCAAAAAAAAAAACCAAAAGAAGAAAAAGAGAACAAGCTGAGAACAGAGAGCAATAGGGAGGAGACCAAATGAGTCAGGGAGATACAGAGCAGGAGAGAGAACAACACCGAGTGACACCGGAGAGACACACAGGATGCACAAAGATTGAGACGCAGAGCGACAAACACAGAAAGAGAAAAGAGACAGGAGACGCAGAAACGAGGAAACAAACGATGAGGAAAAAAATGGGGCTGGGAGAAGAGAGATGGAAAGCAAAGAGCAGGGCAACTGGGAACTGAGATGGAGAGGCCCCTCCCTCAAACTCACCATCTGCTGCTGCCAGGGCTTTGGGCTGACTTGCTATCCCCAGAGGATCCCAGCTGGGGCTTTTGAAGCCCTGAGGGACAGAGGTGGTGGAGACAGAGAACATGTGACATCGTTCTCAGGGCTTGAGATCACCAGCTTATTTATTCCTCAGAGCAAGTCTATGAAATAAGTACAATTAGCATCTTCATTCTACAGAACCATGGAGGCAGGGCCAGCTTCAGTGGCTCACACCTATAATCCAGTGCTTTGGGAAGCCAAGGCAGGAAGATCACTTAAGTCCGGGAGTTCAAGATCAGCCTGGCTAACATAGTGAGACCCCATTTCTACTAAATGAAAAAAAAAAAGTTTAAAATTTTTAAATAAATTTTAAGGCTGGGCACAGTGGCTCACATCTGCAATCCCAGCACTTTGAGAGGTCAAGGTGAGCATCTGAGTTCAGGAGTTAGAGACCAGCCTGGCTAACACGGTAAAACCCCATCTCTACTAAAAATACAAAAATTAGTCGGGCACGGTGGTGGGTGCCTGTAATCCCAGCTATTCAGGAGGCTGAGGCAGGAGAATCACTTGAACTCGGGAGGCGTAGGTTGCAGTGAGCCAAGATCACACCACTGCACTCCAGCTAGGTGACAAAGCAAAACTCCATCTCAAAAAATATATATAAACAAGCTTTTTAAAAAAAGAAACAGAGAAACTGAGTGACCTGCCAAAGCCACACAAGTAATGAGAAGAGCTGCAGTTTGAACCCAGGCAGTCTGGCCCGTCAGTGCCCATAACTTCACCTATGCTGCCTGTCAAGAAGTGCTGGCTTCCTGGATTCCCGTTGTGTCCACAGCCACCCTCTGGGGAGAGGTGGTGGGTAAAGGGGAAGGTGACCAAGGTAGCTGACCTTCGTAACTACATCCACAGATGTCCCTGAGCCACAGTGTGAGAGAATAGGCTCAGTTTCCTTCTACTGGGAAGGCCTCCAGCTCAAGGGGGGAGGCTGAAAGGAGCCAGCTTCCTGCATGTCCTATCCGAAGTGCTGCCCAGAGCCAGGCCTCAGTCTTCCAGGAGGGAACATGGACTCGCTCCCCTCAGACTACTTCCCCAGCAGCTAGACCTCAGTTTCCTGGCCTTGATTTCCTAGCAGCGCGGCAGGCCAGAGAGGCCACACCAGTCTTCCAAGGCAGCACAGCGCTTTGGTCATTTGTTCTGAGATTTCCAGACAGGCTGAGAAGCAGCCCCCCACCCCCACCACCGCCATGTACTCTCATCTCTCTGACCCCAGAAAGAGAGCCAGCAACGCTCCCCTCGGCAGCCAACTGAGATCCCCGTGTGATTTAGCCTCTGTCCCTGACGTGATAATTACACTAACAGCAATTCCCAGAACCCCAGCTATTATCCTAAATCATTCCACCCCTCCTGTCTCCTGTACTGTAACAGAGAACACTCTGCTTTTCTCCAGAGACATTTGTTCTCTGCTCCAAGCACACAAAAAAACTGGGAAGCCCTTCCCACTGTCTGACCTTCAAAGGTCCTGCTCCTGCTAAGCTTCTCCCTACTCCAACCAAGAACAGAAGGACACCTTAAGGAAGGGGAACAGCCCAGCCGGGACAAGACAGACAAAGGCCATACCCCAGGAAGGTGTTCCCACACAAACTTGGCGGGGGGGGCATCTCCACAGACAACAGGACAGACACAGCACGAGGCAGCCGGGGCTGTGGTTTATTGCAGATAGACACGGATTCAGGGAGGTGAGGAGGCAGATGGGCTGTGGGTTCTGTGCTCAGCATCCCACAGTGGGAGGGGCAGGTGACAAAGGTCAGGATGGGGTCTCCCTGATGGTGGAGGATCCAGCCTGACCACAGAGGAGCTGCAAGAAGCAAGGCCCCGAGCCGGCACCCCCTGGGTCCCCATTCCTCAGGATGACGACTCCGGAGACGCTAGGCGATGTCATTAGGAAGGATCCCCGGCGCATCCGCGGTGTGGAGCACAGAGCTCTCGAGGACTGGCGATCCTGGTTGGGGTGGAAGGGATGGTTACCCGGGTCCTCGCCCCTCCGCGGCCTCCGGCGTCTCTCCGGGTGTCTGGCGGCTCGGGCGGCGGCCAGGGTTGCTGTAGCGGCGGCGGCGGCGGCGGCTCAGCTGCAGCTGGAGTTGGGGTCGCGGGCCGCCGGGGACTCCCAGGAGGCAGGAGACGGAGGCAGCGGCGGGCGCCGGGACAGGCGGCGCGCCCGGGCGGTTGGCACACGGAGGGGACGGCACGCTGGGCTGTGGGCCGGCGGGCGCCGCGGGGGACCGCGTGGGCACCCAGATGAGACCGTAGTACACGGCGAGCAGGACGGCGGCCAGCGAGACGCAGAGGAAGTAGGCGCAGACCGGGGCCAGACGCAGCCAGCGTCCCCGCGGGCCCTCACTCAGCCCAGCGCCACCGGGGCTTTCGCCACCACCGCCCACGCAGCTGGTGCCCCGCATCCCCGCAGCCCAGTCGGCCCCGCGCCGCGGCCCGCACAGGCCCCGCCCCCGCCAGGCCCCGCCCCCGCCCCGCAGGACCGCCCCGCGCTCTAAATCGCCCACCTCCGGCCCCACCCCCGCCAGGCATGGTCACGCCCCCGCGCGAGCGGCCGCCTCTGGATCCTTAGACCCACCCCCTCCGGCCCCCTCCTAACCACCGCCTCTCGGAAGCGCTAGCCCCGCCCCCTCCTCGCTCCAGCCGCTCCCCCGCGTTTAGCCCCACCACTTCTATCACCGCCTCCTCCCACTACAACCCGGTCCCCTTCCCGGACCCGGACTTCATTCAGCTCAGGCGTCTAGCCTGCCTCGGAGCCCGCCCCCTCATCCCGCCCAAGCCCGGCCTGGAGCCCTACCCCGCCCTCCGCCGCAGCCAGGCTCAGTTCTCTCTGCCTGTCGGACCGTCTACTCCAGCGCTCGAGCCCCGCCCGCTCCGCCCTCTGCCTCCCACACTCTAGTCAGGAGTCCCCGCTTTCCTCCTCCGCGGGCTCCCACGCGGCACGCTGCCCGCGCTCCCACTAGCGGCTCCGCCGCATACCCGTGGCAGGAGCCCCAGCTCCGCGCGCTGACCCCGCCCCCTGCTCTAACTCCGCCTGCCCGGATTTCGGCCCCGCCCAGGCAGCCTAGCCCCGCCCCCACGGGAACCGCCCACCTCCAGCACACAGCCGACCTTTCAGGTGTCCCCAGCATCACCTCAGGCTCCCAGGTTCTAGCTCCGCCCCTAACGGCAAACGCGCCCCTTCTCCCAGCTCCTCCCCCACCGTCAGCTTCTCCCGGTCCCTAGAGCCATGGGGTCCAGACTAGGCTCTGGGGGAGAACACAGTCTGGAAATCCAGATAAACCCCTCCTGACGACCCCTCCCCATCAAGGCGGGGAAGCTTCAGTCCCCTCCCAGCAGCGTCTTCAGGAATTCGGGGAGGCCTGCAGGAGGGGGGGAGGGAAGACGGATCAGGGAGGTGGAAGACCCCCTTCCTCCCGCCTCTTCCGCCACGGAAAAGCCCGCCAAGCACAGCGACCCAGCCTGCCCCCTCCAGAAACACAGTTCAAGGGTGAGCGGAAGCACTGCGTTTAATAGGACAGGGCTGGCGCCCGAGTAAGTCAAGCCCTTCGGAAGAGTCACCGGCTATCACAATCCTAGAGGCGGGAGATTCGGCCTGGGGACTGGCCGGAGCCGCCCAGGGCCTCCATGGGAGGCTAATGCGGAGAAGTCCCAGCCGTCCGGGTGCCGCGACATCCCCCGTCTGTGGGGCCGGCACCGATTACTGCCCTGGCCTCGCCCAGCTCGCAGACCCTGGCTCCTCCCCCCTTACATTTAACCCTCTCCCGGCTGGAGTGTGGTAGAAGCAGAGGATAGAGGAGCGAGGCGGTGGGAGGTTAGTGCAGAGCGCAGAGGCCGCGGTCCGGCGGGCGCGGTCAGCGAGCGGCCCCCGGCGGCGGAGGGGCCGCCACCACCTTGCAGAAACGCACCCTCTGGAAGTCGGTGATCTCCGCTGTCTCCTGGCCCTCGGGGCCCGCCTCTGGGGAGAGAAGGGTCTGAGTCAGCGGAGGGGAGCAGTCTCCCCACCTCCCCGCAGGCCCAGGACCCCTCCCTCGTCTAGCCACGCCCCTCACCCCATTCTAGCCCGGCCACTGCGGGCCTGGCGATAAGCGGCTTACGGGCCCCGGACTCTTAATCCTGTCAGCGGACCCACGCAGCAGCAAACATCCCCAACAGAACCCTGTTTACAATCGAGGAAACGCGGGTGTGGCGAGATCTGCCTCCCAACACGTGGCCTAAGGCAGACTGGGCCCCCGCGCCACCTGCCGCTGCAAACTGTCCTCCCACCCCCGCCCCACCTCACGGCCCTCACCAACCTCCACCAAAACAGTCCTAGAGGAGCCGCCCTCCGCTCTCCTTCCCCAATGCCTACAGTCCTTCCTCGGCTCTGCCCCCAAATCCTAACCCCACTCTGCGGGTAGGAGAGGCCATCCGAGATTCGAAATCTTATTCCCACGGGGTGTAGGAGAGGGGCTTGCCCTCTTGCTTGCACTCTGTCGGTCCCAAAATTCTGATCGAGTCTGCATCTCTAATTTGCCCCACTAGGTTGCACCTCAAAAACTGATCCCAGCCACAGTTAAATCCAGTTTTCTGCCTTGCCCATCTGTTTGGCCTTTTCCAGCCAGTTCAATTTCGAAGTCTGCCTCTAGCTCCTGCCCTAGGACACCAAGCCCCAACCTCCCTCCGTTTATTTTTTGTTTTTTTGAGACGAAGCCTCGCTCGGTCGCCTAGGTGGGAGTGCAGTGGAGCAATCTCGGCTCACTCCAGCCTCCGCCTCACAGGTTCAAACGATCCTCCTGCCTCCCAAGTAGCTGGGATTACAGGCGCGCACCACCACCCCCAGCTAAGTTTATTTTAGTAGAGATGGGGTTTCACTATGTTGGCCGCCCTGATCTCACACTCCTGAACTCAAGTGATCTGCCCACTCTGGCCTCCCCAAGTGCTGGGATTACAGGCGTGAGCCACCGTGCCCCCACGGCATCCCATTACTCTTAAATGGGTGCTTTCCAAAACCCCTGAGCTAGACCCCAAAATTCTAATCCCTTCCTTTTCCACCTCCTCGACCTCCACGCACATACCCAATTCCGATTGGCCTGGCCCATAAAGTCGCCCCTTAGCTCCACCCCCACATCCCGGCTCCAGCCCCGCCATCTCTATCTCCGCTCACCCTTTTCACTTCACCTCTATGGTCCAAGTGCTGCCCACACACATTCCACTCCCCCCAAGCCCTCAGCCCCAGAGAAAGAGGAAGCAGCAGCCTCCACCCCCTGCCCCATGCACTCCCCCACCTGGAGTTGCCTCAGACCCCTCCTCTTCAGCCTTCTGGCATCCTGGGAGGCTGGGCCCGCTCTCCAGGGAAGCTCGGGCTGACTGGTCGCCTCCTAGGGAAGGGGAGGCCCAGTCAAGCCCCCTTCCCAACTTGACATCTCCCCACCCCAAGAGAAGGCCCGGGGGAGTTGAGGGGGGTTCAAGGACACACCTGGGGGAATGTCATTTGAGGATGTGAATTCTTTATTGGGAAGGGGGTTTAAGGGGCTGGGGCAGGCTCCTGGAATGGGCATTCCAGAGATGGGCACGACAATACAGAGGGGCATGGGCTGCCCTCCCCAGCCGACAGGGCTGTGGGGCACACTGGGTCCTGGGGCCCAGCCCGAGGGTCCCCACCAGCCACACCCCTCCAGCGCACTCATTCACACACAGGCAGACAGCTTCATGCATTCCCAAAAGGCCAGGCCTCACCCGGAGAAAGGGCGCCAGCCGGGTGGGCGGTCCGGGGAGAGTTCAGCTCCACCTCTTCACCCCAATCGGACACAGGCTGGTGGCCGCTGGGTGGCGAGAAAGGGCTGGAAGGTGTGGCAGGGTCCTGGGGCTCCAGCAGGGGCTCCTCCGGCCTGAAGGGGGGCTCCATGGGCCTGCTCACTGCAGGGGCTCTGGGTGGGGCTGGCTGCCACAGGAGCTTCGTGGTCTTCGGCTGGTTCCTCCTCGTCACCTCCTTCTTCCACCCCAATCTCCTCCTCGTCCTCACTTATGTCCTCCCATTCTTCATCCTCTTCCCCCTCATTCTCATTCTCTTCCCCCTCGTCTTCGGGAGGCTGGTGGGCAGGTGCTGGGGTCTCGGGTGGCTGTGGGGACACAGGCAGGTCAGGGCAAGGCATGGGCCCTGAGCCCCCATCCCAGGCCCATGCCCTGAAACGCAGCCTGGCCTCACCTGCGTGGGTGTCTCCACAAGGGGAGTGGGCTGTGGAGCCTCAGGGGCTGGAGATGCTGCCCTCTCTTTTGTCTCCCAGCGGTCATCATGGTCACTAAAATGGACAGAGGGTGGGGAGACGCCTGGGTGGAGAGTGGACAGGAGAAAGGGGCTTCCTGACTCCATCCTCCCTAGGAAGGAGCTACCCCGAGCACATGGTATGCTGGAGCACTGAGGGAATGGCGGACGTGTGTCCCCAGGTGTCAGGGACAGATAGAAGGCGGAGCAGGTGGCAGGAGGGGACATGGGTGAGGCAGAGAAGGGACAGATGAGGATAAAAGCAAGACCCAGCTCCCAAGTCCCTGAAACCAAGTACCTGCGAGATAGACAGGGCCAAGACAAGGGCAGGGACAGACAGATGTGCCCACACCTTCACAGCAAGCCAAAGAAGAGAAAGCCCTGCGGACCGCCTTGGGGCGTGCAAGCTGCAGAAGGGGTGCCCCACCTGTAGGCCCAGGGCGCTGACTTGGCCTGGGGCCGGCTGCTCTTTCTCCTCCTGCGGCTGCTAGCCTCGGCTTTGTGCTGGGACAGGAACTCCCCAAAAGTAGGGGGCTTCGGGGGCCGGGCCCAGGCCTGGTCATCTGCAACAGAACGCCCAGGCATTGTCAGGAAGGGAGGGTCGTGGCACACACCACCCCAACTCCCAGATCCTGCCTGACCCCAGCCAAGGGCACCCACTCACCATAGCGGTGGGATGGTTCTCGAGCAGGGACCGGGCCGTCCTTGAACCTGGGGAAAGATAACGGGTGAGCAGGCAGGTGGGGGGACAGGGTAGCAAGAGGAGCAAGTTGGCCTAAGAGGTCAAGGTCAGATATCAGATCAGAGACAGATGGTCAACCAGACAGGGCCAGGCATGGCGGTGCACACTGGAATCCCAGCTACTCGGAGGCTGAGGGAGGACTGCTTGAGCCTGGGAGTTCAAGGGCAGTGGGCCACAATCAAGCCACTGCACTCAAGCCTGGGTGACAGGGCGAGACCCTATCTCAAAAAAAAAAAAAAAAAAGGATGGACCAGTTGATAGGCAAGAGGCAAACTTGACATCATAGTGACAAATAAAAAGATTCAGAATGTGGCCATCGGAACAAAAATTTGGATCACCACAGACCTTGCCCAAGTACATGACCTCCAACTCCCTGTGTGACCTTTCCCACCAGTCCTTCTCACCTCTCCAGCCAGGCAGGCTCTTCCCCACATCTAGCTCCTGCCTCAGAGCCTCACTGCCTGCTCCTGGAACGCTCTTCCCACATTTTTCAGTGGCTCACTCCTCACTGCCTTCAGGGCTCCGCTCAGAGGCCTTCCTGAACCCCCAGCGAGGAGAACAGTAGGGCTGGGCACAGTGGCTCATGCCTGTAATCCCAACACTTTGGGAGGCCAAGGTGGGCGGATCACTTGAGGCCAGGAGTTGGAGACCAGGATTGTGGGTAACATCCCCATGGGACCCAAGGAAGGAGAACTGTCCAGACCCCAGGCAAGACTAGTACCTGAAGAGTATCTTATAGTGTCATTGCTCAGTTGTTTCCTTTATATAATCCTTCATATACAATCATATATTAGTTTACAGATTTCGTTCTTGAAGTGTAACTTACTGCTTACATATATCTTTTTTTTTTTTTTTTTTTGAGACAGAGTTTCACTCTTGTTACCCAGGCTGGAGTACAGTGGCGCGATCTCGGCTCACCGCAACCTCCGCCTCCTGGGTTCAGGCAATTCTCCTGCCTCAGCCTCCTGAGTCGCTGGGATTACAGGCACGCGCCACCATGCCCGGCTAATTTTTTGTATTTTTAGTAGAGACGGGGTTTCACCATGTTGACCAGAATGGTCTCGATCTCTTGACCTCGTGATCCACCTGCCTCGGCCTCCCAAAGTGCTGGGATTACAGGCTTGAGCCACCGCGCCCGGCTGCTTACATATATCTAGCATACTTAGTTCTATATAATCATATAGGTATAGTAGTCGGAGCTGTACCGACACATTTAGTGCTGATTTATAGACTCCTTCCTTCTGTATAACCATATAGTAGAGTTTGTAGTAGGAGGAATGCCTAGAGCAGTCACAGAACAGAAGCAGTACATGGGAAAACAGCCAGACCAGGACAAGAACCAAAGACCCAGGCGGTGGAGTCCCTGCCCGAAAGGGCATACGCTGTATGGCAGGCTTAGAGCAAGAGCCTCTCCTCCTGATAAAGGACTTGTAGTACCTTTCATCCAGTTCCTGTAGAAAGCAGGCCTCAGGCCTGAGATCCTGCAAATAACCAAGGGAGAAGAACCCCTCTGGTGTGACCAGTCACAGCGGCTGTACACACTGTCAGTTTTTTCTCACTTCTGTGCTAGCTCAAATCATCCTCCCATAAATATCTTAAAAGAAGAGCACAAGTCTGTCAGCTCCCACTGCATTGGCTTACAGTGTCTATTAGAAATCCTTTGAAGTCTCCAGCTCCCAGATAAGAACTGTTGCACACGACACCTGTTGCACACAGCCCACCTCCTTGCCTCAGTGACCTAATGGGGGTGGACCCCTTTTCTGTACACAACCCTCTACTACTGTGCACGGCATGGCCCCCTACTGCACACAGCCCACCTCTCTGCCCACGTGACATAATGGGGTGGTCCCCTCACTTGTAACTCACTTGTATGCCCTATTACTAAGCCTACAGTTGATGACCTCACTCACAACCCTGCCCCTGCTTGTACCTAATAAATACAGATGCTCTGGGGCATTTGGGGGCCTGGCCGATCTCCACTCACAGGTGGTATGGCTCCCCGAGTCCAGATGCTCTTCACCAGTTCTTCAGCGTCCTGACTCTTTACCTCTTGGATCCTGCACCTCAATATAGCATAAGGGACACCCCACGACCCTGTGGGGCCTCCACAGCCCTACACAGGATTAAACCCTGCTTCTACTAAAAATACAAAAATTAGCTAGGCGTGGTGGCAGGCACCTGTAATCTCAGCTACTCAGGGGGCTGAGGCAGGAGAATCACTTGAACCTGAGAGGCAGAAATTGCAGTGAGCTGAGATTGTGCCACTGCACTCTAGCCTGGATGACAGAGCAAGACTCCATCTCAAAAAATAAAAAAGGTATTATTACACAAAATATCGATTTCTAAAATTCTACCCCCACCCTGGCTGCTTACTCTGCTTCACTATCTTTCCAGACCTGATGTTACGCCTCTTCATTACCCACCTTGCCCACTACACTCTTAGTTCCGCAAAGGCAGAAATGTTTCATTTGCCACTGTTATCACCTAGAACTTTCCATAACATAGGGAGACTCAAATATGTGCTGACGAAAGCAAGGCACCATACATTTTTTTAATTTTTTATAGAGACGGGGTTTCTCCACGTTGGTCAGGCTGGTCTCGAACTCCTGACCTCAGATGATACACCCAACTCGGCCTCCCAAAGTGCTGGGATTACAGGTGTGAGCCACTGTGCCCGGCCGCATTTTTCTTTTTCTTAAAGACAGGGTCTTGCTCTGTGGTCCAGGCAGGAGTGCAGCAGCGTGATAACAGCTCACTGCAGACCCCCTGGGTTAGGCAATCCTCCAGCCTCGGCCTCCCAAAGTGCTGGGATTACAGGTGAGTCACTGCACCCAGCCATGAATGAAAACGTTCAACACAGGAAAGAATGGGGGATGACGTATAACCTAATGGCGCTGATCTTTCAAGACTGCCATTTATCGGCTCTTCCAGAACCTTCTCCTTCTCAGCTATGGAAGTTAGTCCTCATGTGGATGATGCGGTGAGGTCTTTAAGTCTGACTGAATGCGAGGACACAGTGAGGGTAACAATGCCACTGGGGTAAGAAGGTGGTGAGGCGTGGAGACACGTTCAGGGATCATCTGGGTTGGCGGAGATGGGTCGGAGGCGGGTGGGAGGATGCAAAGGTCTAATCGCTGTTCAGCAGCCTTCACCAGCGCCAGCACCACTGCCACCAGCCGTCCTTATCCACTGGAGTGAGCGGAGCTTATTTCCCTGCTCCAGTGAGGCAGGGCATGCTGGCGAACAGGACTGGGAAGTGTGCCGGCTTGTGCATCTGCCCTACCAGGACAAGCGCTCCCCAGGCAGCTGCTACCCTCAGCCTGGACAGCAGAATGACCACCCTGGAGCAGAGTGAGTTTGCCCTGCCACAGGGAGCCAAGCCCCATGGGACTCACAGCTTAGCATCCAGCCTGGATCAGCTGAGCCCAGCTCACCCGTGAACACGTAAGAAACGCTCTCATTCCAGCTACTCGGGAGGCTGAGGCAGGAGAATTGCTTGAACGCAGGAGGTGGAGGTTGCATGAGCAGAGATCCTGCCACTGCACTCCAACCTGAGTGACAGAGCAAGGCTCCCCCCCCCAAAAAAAAAAAAAAAAAAAAAAAAACCCAGAAATGCTCTTATGTGCCGCTGAGATCTGAGCTGACCCACACTCACTCATACACAGCAGGAGAAACCAGAAAGAAGCACAGGACTTACAAGTCCAGGCGAAAGTCAGGGAGCCACGCAGGGAGGGGAGCGGGGAGGAGAGCGGGGAGGGAGCAAGGAGCTGGGAGGAGAACTGCGGGGAGGGAGCAGGGGGGGAACAGGGGTGCGGGGAGGGAGCAGGGGGGGAACAGGGGAGCGGG